GTTCTACCTGCCATTGTTGCAGGTTTTCTTGTCACCCCCGTTGTCTCTCTTCTTGTTTCTTTTCTTTTTTTCTTCAACAACTGCTGTAATCTATCTTGTTTATTTTGCTGTTCTACCTGCCATTGTTGCAGGTTTTCTTGTCACCCCCGTTGTCTCTCTTCTTGTTTCTTTTCTTTTTCCTCCAACAACTGCTGTAATCTCTCTTCTTGTTTCTTTTCTCGTTCTTTTTGTTTCTTTTGCTGTTCTTGTATTGCTGCCATCAAATCTGCTAAGCTGTAGTTTGATTTGCCACTTCTCGTTTCCATCTTTTTTTTCGTCCCACTCTCTGACACCAATTTGTTATGTATCTGCTCGTTTGATAATTTCCGGTATAAATTCTTTCCGAGGAACTTCAGCGATGCAAGTCCTTTCTTAATTAAAACTAGTTTATTTTTTCTCGTTACAACTTTGTAATATACAGAATTTCCACAGTCACTTTAAACTTAACCTTTATAACACATGCTATAAATCACCGTGGTTCACACACTTTACTCACGGTGCCTACTGTTCGCTTGACTCAGTTATTTATATCTTCAATCTATCTGCATATCTGTCTATCACTGGCTTTATTTGCCGGGCTTATATACTAAAAAGAGGGCACCTGGCAAACACTCCGACATTCGCGAGGTTCCTCGATAAGTCATGATCCTTCTAGAAACTCCAGCGCGCATGCTCCCAGCGTCGCGTGACTTCTGCTGTTGTAACAATATTTTTAGGCAACACCTCCTCTGAACTACCATTAACTGACTAAATTTATACTTTAGAAGCTATGAAATCACCTAGTGCTTATTTTGAATACTGAAAACTTATCACAAAAACGGGTGTTCCTGATTATCTTTTTTTACTTTACATGTTTATTTTTAAATGTCTGTAGACATAAGAGCTTAAATAATATTTTGCAAATTTGCTTTTAAAAAATGAGTGAATGTTTAAAACATTATAAATGAAATGATACAAAAAGACACAGAACTTGTCACAACCTTATCGTACTAACCAATTCAAACTTTGTTGTGCTGTTACTGGATTTTTTTGTTACACAGTACCTAAGTTAATTTCAAATTTATGTTGGGTAAAACTGAAATGAAAATAAACCAAATTTATTGGAAGGAAATCATATGGTTTAACACAGAGAGCTGTTTAAATAACATCGTATAATTTCTGAACGTGATATTAAGTAAAATCTAACGTAATAATGTTTTTCATGAGTTTAGTATTAATAATTGATTGAAAAGTGATATCATAACATTTTAATACCTGTTGTACATTTTTGAGAGTAATGCGCATTAGTTTTTTTAATTGTTTACTCTTTAATAAGAATACTTGAGTATCTTTAACCTAAGTGGCAATCGCTAAACGTCAATATTTAAGACACATGATTATATCAGTCAATACTATAAATTTTGATTGAGGCAGTTTTTTATCCATAAAGACAAAAACTCCAATAGGTGAAATTCTCTAAACTAATTGAAGTGATAAGAGCTTGAAACTGCAGTTATCAGGTGGTCTTGGTATGAATTTTATTAATTAATGTTAGGTAACATATTTAAATTTACTTGTTTTAGCTATAATATTTAGTTTTAACTAGGGATGGGACAAATATCTGATCTGATCAGATACTGCACTAACAGAGTGGTTGGTCTGTGGAATGGATTGCCTTTAGCTGTGGTGGATGAAGTGAATTTAAAGGAACTTAAGGGTTGGCTTAAAAATATTTAAATGAGAAGGACTGGCTTTACGTATTTTTTATAGTTTAGTTTAACTAACAGGACAGCCTAGATGTACCAACAAACACATTGTTGTCCTTAAATTTTCTTTAACGTTATATTAGTTTTGTGATGAATTGATATAATTAGGTCACATTTTCATCAACAAATTATGTAGGCACGATACTATTTAAGTGCATCACACATAATAAGTATTGTATCATATAACCCACTGGTGCTTTCTACTAGCTTCTAAACATAGTAGTAGTAGTGTATGTTTTCCCAGTACGAAATAATGGGATCCCTGGCAGTCATAGTGCAGACAGTTATAGTTTAAATAAACATCAATTCCACCAATTGTATAGTTACTGTATGCACAGATGTTCCAGGTACTGAAAGGAACAGCAATGGCAAACACAATCTAAACAACAACCTCAGTGAGGGATCAGGGGTGTAAAACACTGTCTCACTTCGCCATGCGATGCATTTTCTTAATGGGCCTGCAATATAGTTTGGAGTAATTAATATTAAGTTGTGATCATAGTAAAGTGTTAGTAGAAGATAGGACAGCCTAGATGGGATAAATGGCTCATGTTATAATGACGTGTTCCATTGTTAATGTTAACAAATCAAAGTGAAAATTTTATAAAACTATTATTATGTTTTTCAGAGTTTATAGTTGGAATTCCAAAATTAGCTCAAGTAACATTTAACTTTCCCTTTTTTGAAAGTATGCAAGATGTGGGTTTGCTAACTGGTAATAAATGACTATCTGGAAGGGACGATCGTATGTGCAGTCCAAAAATATAAAGTTATATTTTCTGTCAGCGAATAAGATAAGGGACATTGGCAGCTGCAACCTAAAGCTTAACTCTCAGTGGACATAGGTCTTAAATGTGAGGTGAATTTTACGTACAAGCTTAGCTTTGTTTGTGTATATTAACTTGGTATTTAAAACCAGGTATATTCCTATAAGAGAGAGAGAGATAGAGCATGAGAGGATTTTTCTGTAACTTTTTAACTTTCTTTTAGTTTACTTATTTTTTAACTTGTAGGATCTTGTAAGAGTAGGTTTTTATATTTCAATTTCGAATTTTATCTAGCAAAGGGAATTGTTTACTTAAGCTTTAAAGAAAGACGTTTCTGTAGTTTATCTAATGTTTGAACATTAGTTTTGTTAGATATACACTGTTTCAGTTTAATATGAACATTACAATTTAAATAGTTTATATAGCATGGGTGTCATATTTAGTTATTTTTAAAAGTGATATTTTATGATAAATTTGTTTACATAACTGTATATGAATTATACTTGTGTAGTTAAACTGTTATGAATTAACGATTGTTTACAATAGTGCAATTATTCCATCATGTTGCTAGTACTTTCTGAGTTTCTCGTTGGTTTAATTGAGTATCATTGCACCAGAATATCTATTACGTCATGGAATGTTCTAGACTTCTGTCGGGGTATAAATACGCATCAAAAAATCATTATTGAGTTCTGCTTCTAGACTGCGTGATCGCAACTTTAGAGATAAAGAGCATATAGTGGTGATCTTTAAAGTGAAATTATCACAGACTTATTTTAATAACAAATATATAGAAGAATAATTCGTATTGTTAATTGTGTTCTAAAGTAACTGAACCAATCTGTGTAGACTTTGACGAAAAAGAGACTCTGGATACAACTGTGATAACCAAGAGCGTAACGAACATTTGTATATACATTTAATTTGTTTTTAATATATTGTTTTAAAACAAGCGGACTGTACTTTTGTTTGTTTATAGTTAAAATTTATCGCCAACAAGTCACAGCCATCTACTGTATATAATCCGGCCATACAAAACCTGACAAGTTTTAACAATGATTTTAGTTTTTTTTAATTGATACATAACTTTTGCAGCTTTATTTTAATTTTCTACAGGATTTTAATTTCAGTCTAAGGCTTATATTTTAGTATAACTTACAGGGGGACACACTGAACTAATAAAAAAAACTCTTTAAATAAACTCATAATATCGCTCTAGTCATTAATTTTATATATTTTAACTGTAGGGTCTGTAGAACATAAAGACTTGCCCTTGTTATATTTTGTATTGTAATTATGTTTGTGAATAAACATTTTTCTGTAAATTGTGAAAATATCAGTGCCAAGTCTTTCACTTAACTGATCGGAGAGAGAGCATTATACTCTACATTCCGGTATTCTCTGAACCTCCAAACAGCAAACCAAACTGACTGCTCTGCGAGAAAACCGCTTTACCGGAATTACCACACTTACAAAATTATTAAATGTTCTTATTTTTAAGTTTCAATAATTTCTAAACAAAACTGTATTTACTGTCAATGTTCTAATGTTCTTACCCATAGGCGATAAGGAATTTCTCCTCTGTGTGCAAAGTTGACAATGTCCAAGAGCGCCTCATCCATTAACAACATCGCATCTTCATTGGGAATGATGTAAGACTTTCCATGGCTAACAGTTGCTAGGAAGTCCAGCTGCACATCTACTTTATGAGACAAAGCAAATGTTCCTACTCTGACACCAGAGTTGGACACTTTGGTCACAATGTTTTTTAGATTGAAAGCTTCATTTTCAATACCATCCGTAAAGATCAGTATTAATCCCCCTGCAGTTCCTCCTCTTCGCTCCAATATCTAGAAATAAATCATATATAATTATGTAATATAATTAAAAATGGATTTATAAGAAATAAATATTTAGATTTCAAAAAAATTTCTTAAATAATACCTATCTTTATGGAATAATTTAAGGCTGTATCTGAGGAAGGAGAATATTTATATCATTAGAATAATCTATTTTTGTAGAAATTACATAAAAAATTAACATTTCTTAAATAAAAACTATAAAGTACTCAAAACGCTTCCAGATCAAGTGTTTTTCTGGTACTAACAGATTAGTTGTATGGAATCACTACGTTAAAACACTAAATACTGAAGGAAGAGAATTACAATTTAGAAAACCATAATTGTAAATAGTTCTGTAATTTAGCCTAATCAATAACAAAAAAAAAACAAAAAAAAACGTAAAATTTCCATACAAATTGAATAGTTCTAGACAAACGAATAAACCACAAAGTAGACTTAGTATCGTTGATTTAACCATAATCAAAGGTTCTTCCTATTAGTAAAGACGCGCATTCGAATCACTTTTGAAATCAATTTCACATTTATCTGAAAAATTCCAACTTCGCAAGAGTCAAGATGTTTTATTATTAAATTTACTAGATACGAGTACCATATATATATATATAAAATTATCATAGTCAAAAGTGAAAAAAAAGTAACTTATAAAGAATTTATATAATAAACAAAGTGTATAGATATATATATATATCAAATTACCTGTAGTCCTCTATTTATTCCACAAGAAATACATGTGCGCCCTCCCGTGGCAGAAGGAATTTTGGAGGAAAGTACATCCCTGCCTTCTGCTACAAGTGTGAGGTCAGCAAAAACATGCGCTGTGTCATTGAATCCAATAATGGCTATCATACTTCTATCAATTGCTAGATAATTGATGAAACGCTTTAGACTACTCTGTAAAGTTCTGGAACTATTCTGTGGGAAATAAAAAGTAAAAAAAAAAA